AAGATATTCCCCTACAGCAAGGACGCTGCCAGAGTGGAACAATTTCAGTGGCTCAGGAAACAGAAGGTGCTAAATGGGAAGTATGGCTGCCACTCCCTGGTTAGGAGTGCTTCTGCTGCAAGTGAAGACTGCCTGGGAGCCACTTGCATTGGAGGCTATTGCAGAATCTGTCAGGTTTTGCTAGAGAAGGGGAGGGAATGGATTGACAACTTGATCTTCCATGTGTTCCCTTCTGCAGCCTTGCTGCTGGAAAGCCCAGGTGCCTTTCTCCATTTTGCTGCTGTGTGTCAGCATCTGTAGAGAAGAATACGCAAAACAGGTGGACTGTCTGACTAAGAGAGCAGGCTCCTGCGTATAAGGAGAACTACTTTATCCTCCTTCCCACCTGAAAAACACTTTCAGATGGACTAGAGAATCTGGTGCTGATGTCTCCTATTCATTCTGAGAACAAGCATCTGTGCTCATACTTGCCTGTTTTTCAGCTGCAGGTTGAATGGCTCACCAGCATATCTCGAGAAGGACACATTTTGTCTTGGTCTGTTTATAATCTGCCCAAGCAGGCCAAGGAATCCATGCTAAACCATGTATTCAGGCCCATCCTGTGCTGCCAGATGTATTTCTCAGCAACTAAGCAAGAACTGCAAACAATTGGTTGCAAGTTACCGGCGATCAAGTCCTGATTCTCTTGTTCCAACTTGTTCCTCAGGGGGAGAGAGTGGCAGAGCTGATCCTCCACCACGCCCGCGCCAACCAGTGCCAGGATATCGAGCGGTTCAAGGCTGAGATGGCAGAACTGGTGGCCAAGGTCCGGGGAAACACCATCGCCCTGGGGAAGGCAAGTGCACCGTGTCTCATTCTTACTCACTTGCAATTCACTGCAACTCGGCACTGAAAACTGAAACAAAAGGGGTTTTTGATCAGTTGTTCACTTCTTTTTGTATTCCAGCTGCAGGTGGGAAATCTCCTCTCGAATGTCTTCAAACTATTGATGACCCATAAGGTGAGGTCCTGTCACTGTCTGCCTTCAATAGCTGGAAGTTTATTTGGGGAGGGAGAACTACTGGCAACATGAAAGGCTAGCAAGGAGGGGGATTGACTTCTGAAATAAACTGCTAGGAGAGGAACTGCATCAATGTAACCAAGTGTTGCAGGCTTGCTGTTTCTTAGCACGTTTCTTAGGTATGTCTGTTTTGTTGGGGTTTTTTGGTCTTAATGCTACATTTAATGGCTGATATTGTTTACTGAAAGGAATATTTTGGTAACACATAGTTTTTCCTATCTTTTTTTGGTAGTTTCTTAGAAGCAGAAAATTAAATCTAATATATATTCCACTTCTATATCATTGCATGCATTCTTCCCTGGACCTCTTTCTTGATATGGGGCTATATAACAGCACCAGGCCATTTTACTAGTTTGTTAGAGGGCTCAAAGGTGAGAAGTTGCTCACAGGACAGAGATAACATAAGTAAACTGATTTTTTAGGAAACAAGTTTCCACAGCTGCAAGCAGCTTTGGAAATCAACAGAGCTGTGGTGGCCTGAACTAGAGGAAATGAAAAGGTTGTCAGCCACTTTGCTCACTGTGCAAAGGGTCCCTCTAAACATTCCTTACTTAGAGGTTTTTTTGTCATTAAACCTCATTAAGTAGGTTTCTAGTGAAATGAAATGTAATCTAGGCCCTTACAAAGCAAGTCCTCCCAACTTCTTAGTGCCTTGGTATGCCTTGAAACAATCCTGGTACCTGGCTGGGAACTGGGAAGCAGTTTCTCCACATAGAGAGCAGAGAATCATTTCCTCTGACCTGTGGGGTCTTTTATGGCCATTCAGGTGAGCTGCCCCTTACACAAACACGTGTCCAAGTATGTTGGATACTAATGCAGCCACGGTGAGCACTTGTAAGGCCCTGATATTCTTGTATGGAAGAAAAAGAAAACCCATTCCCCTTTTTGTATGAAAAACAAACTCTTGGGTTCCCTCAGTGCACTCACCCTGAAACTGTCTCCTTATGTTTGGGCCTGCTGCTGGATTTCAGTGAATTCTAAAACTCCAGTTGGTGGAGTTGCATTAGCTTCAGGTGTGCGTGTGTTCACAGCAGCCTCTTCCCTTCCCTTCCCTCTTAGCTTAGCCAGAGCTGGGACCTTGGTTGAATGGGCACAGAAGAAGAGAACGTCCACTGAGTCCATTTAGTCTCTTGTTGTTCTAGGTGAAGCTCGAGAGCAATTTTGCTTCCATCATCTTTGCCATCATGGTTCTGGAGGGACTAGGTCGTTCACTGGACCCTGAACTGGACATCCTAGAGGCAGCTAAACCACTGCTCATCAAAACTGCAGCTTCTGTCCTCAAATAGACTCCTGTGGCTGCTGCCCTCTCCCTGTGTGGGGTTACCTGCGCTGTCTGTGAGCCAACAGGAGGGAAGCTGAAGGTGAAGTCACATGTGCCCTGAGGACATGCTGTGCAATGATTACTCTGCAATTACGTTTCCTTCAGTCGTTTCAGCCGAGCACCAGGCATGGGATGATCAGAAGGTCTATTCCAGAAACCAGAAGACTTTGCACAATTGGACATTTCTGACTCATTGCACAATTTTAAGAGCTAATGTGCTCTGGTAGTTTTTAAACAGATATATGTATCTTAAGTGCACAAGATGACTGCAGCCTGATGAGAAAGCAGTCTTACTTGTCCAAAAGTCTTCAAAAAGATGTTCATTGATCAAGTCTGTTTTAAAACACATCAGGGTAAATATTTAAGGTTAATTTACTGACTTACCTGTCACTGTGGTATAAGAAATGATGTTCTAACATCACCTAAGCAACACAGGCTGAAAAAGCCAATAAACCTCATTGTCTTTTGTACTTTTAACTTCTACTTTTCTTGTAGAAGTGTCCCAAGATCCTGCATGTAGCGGTCTGTTCTTAATCATTTTGGATGATAAAAACAGACCAGTCATTTTGATTTTTTTTTTCAAACTTCTGTACTCCAGCACATTAGTATGGAAGTTTGATTATAAACAGCATAATAAAATATTTGCCTAGGCAGAAAAACCTAATTCCATAATAAAAAGCAACTTCTGGGAATATTTGTGCTGCTCTTAATTTTTCTGTTTCTGAAGTTTAAAAGTCTTTTTTTTAATCTCTGTGTGCTTCCTTCTACTACCCTCCCCCATGCCGGTGTCACCCTATTTAACTCAAAGCCTTAACTGATATGCAGATTCTTGGGGTTTGTTTCCAATAGCTGCAAAACAAGAAGTCTAAGAATTTTCCTAATGGATCAAAAACATGTTGCAAATGTTTAAAATTAAATAAAGCCAGCAAAAGACCTAGATTATATGTGGCATTCACAGTCAGTTATTTTAATAGCAGTATTAAAATTATTTTATGGCTGCATTTTAATAGTGAGAAATATAGTCTCTGAATGACTGGAAATACTGTGATATTAAATATATTCCCAGATATACCATATGTGAAATAGCAGTAGTGCAGACTCTCTGCAGTGGTCTGTTCTCAAATGGTTAAGCAATGAAAAGAAAGTACATAA